GAATTGGTTGCAAGCAGAAGGTCGGAGAGTTACGTTATTTTGACTACATTGATTCGTTTAGTACTGACACTACCGGTTTCAACAGCGACAGTAGAACGAGCATTTTCAGCAATGAAACATGTGAAGACGGAAATTCGTAACAGAATGGATGATGATTTTCTTGCTGATTGTTTAACACTAAACATTGAACGAGAATTTAGTATTAATTTAGATCTAGATTCTATTATAAATGAATTTTATGCTATAAAATATCGTCGGGTACAATTGTAATATGTAACGTTATATTACAATTTTTCTAGTTATATATAAATTTTATTCATTCATTCAATTTTAAAAATTTTTGCCCCCCGTACGGCACATTCCTGACTCCGTCCCTGGACTTGTATGTATACCTTGTCTATAAACTACCGCTTTATAAGGATTTTTAATACCTATCCAAAATTATTTCCGTCTTTCTACATAACTTGATTGTAAGACAATGTAATAAATTATGATTGTATGTTGCAACGAGAATGAATGTGTAGACACGATTGTAATTCTGATAATATTGTGTAATCAAACATACTAATAAATCGTGAGTGTACTTATCCAACCCCCTAAAAGAAGCTTTAGGTATTCATATTTATAAATGCAGAGATATGTATGTATATATCCACCAAGTATAATAGATTTTTATTTAATATTTAGAAAAGTTTGGACCCTTTTAGTCCAAGTGATCAAATTATTCATATTTGTATCTCTTTCATCAGTACCATAGATAGAGTACACATTAGTCCTCTGCTTTATTTAAATTACATTTTTGCTTTTTCTTTTTATACTTTCATTTTAGTTCACAAAAATGTGTCCCACACTTTACTTCTAATTATTTCATCAAGTGGCATTAGACAAGGGGACTACTATCTTGAAATAAAGACTATTTTGGAATCTAGGACCCAAGTTTTTTTGTGGGTACCTAATATTTTGAGGAACTTTTGCTCACAACCCTAACAATGTTTATTCCTTCCATGTAAGTTAGAAAAATCAAGTGCTATAAATTGATTGGACACTTTAAATGAGGTCCATCTTTTTATATTAAAGTATCCTATCGATTTATAATGACACCTAAAAATTGATGTTCAATTTTTGTTTAGGAGGGTTTTAACAAGTTCCTCGATAGTTCAAATATTTCAATCAATGATTTTATTAATATAATTTTCAAAAATTTCCAATTTGCAACAATCAAATTATTCAGCTTTGGAAAAAAAAAAGTTAATTTTCTGAGTTGTACATCCCAAAGTGAGCTGAGCCGACTCAACCAGTTGCCAACTCTAGGTATAAATACAACACATGGATGGGAAAGGTAAGGGATATGAGGAATTTATTGAAATTTGATATGGTATCTCACTAGGAGGTATTGATTTCATAGAGTAAACGAAGTTATAGTAAAAATAAGGGTGATAATGTTTAAAACTTTAAACTAGGTGGTGTGTTTTGAACCTTCCCCTAATAGTGCAGAACTAGGTAGTTTGTTATGGGTAATAACTTGAGACAAAACGATTTTGAACCTATCATGCATTCAATAGATGTTTGATCTTATTGGAAAATTTATGCTTCCAGAATAACTGGGCCTTGAGCGATCCACTTAGTTAAAGCAAGATTCAGCCTAGGCCCGTGATTTGGTTTTGTTTTGTCCATTAAGTCCAAAGCCCAATATGAAAATCAAGAATTGAAAAAACAGAAGATTTAAAGACGCCCACCGTGGGGCTCGAACCCACGACCACAAGGTTAAGAGCCTTGCGCTCTACCAACTGAGCTAGACGGGCTTGGTTGTTCACAGTTTTTATATTAATTTTATTGATATATAAAGCTTTTAAAAAATTGTAGGAAAAGAAAAATAATCGCCGTTGCCGGGGATCGAACCCGGGTCACCCGCGTGACAGGCGGGAATACTTACCACTATACTACAACGACTTGCCGATTCCTCTTCATCTTTTTATCGTATCTGTGCACTAAAGTGAAGAGTCATATTTCAGAACTTTTGATTCTTTTTTTTTTTTTTTCATAAATATATTGCTTAGAATGCATGCATACCTATGTTGAGTAGTAAATGCTAAAAATGAGGAAAAAAAAATGTTCCTCGATAGTTCAATCTATATTTAGCTACATTGCATTATTTTATTTCGAATGTATTACTGTAGAACAATGAGGAGGGTTTTAACCAATTCCTCGATAGCTCAAATATTTCAATCGATGATTTTATTAATATAACTTTCACAAATTTCCAATCTGCAACAATTAAATTATTCAGCTTTTGAAAAAAAAATTAATGTTATAAGTGGTTCGCCCCAAAGTGAGCTGAGTCGGCTCAACTAGTTGCCAACTCTAGGTATAGGCACAACACATGAGTGGGAATTGGACACGGAAGCCATGAGACATGCTCATGAAAGGTAAGGATATGAGGTACTTATTGAAATTTGATATTGTATCTCACTAGTAGGTATTGAGTTCATAGAGTAAACGAAGTTGTAGTAAAAATGAGGGGAGATAACGTTTAAAACTTTAAGGATCCGTTTGATAGGTAAAGGTAGAAATGAATTTCAATTCCATATTTGTTGGAAAATAAAAACCCACCAAACACATAGGAATTCGTTTTTCATGAAAACAAAGAAAATGCAGTTTAAAGTGGTTGTATCTTAGAATTCAATTTTCATTTTCACGTTGCAATCAAACAGTCAAAGTGGAATTCGTTTTCCTCCAATGTGACATTTTTCATGGAATTCGTTGCAATCAAACAAGATCTAAATTAGGTAGTGTGTTTTGAACCTTCCCTTTAGACTTTTATAGTACAGAACTAGGTATGTTAGTTATGGCCTTATGGGTAATAACTTGAGATAAAAACGATTTTGAACCTGTTATGCATTCAATAGATATTTGATCTTATTGGAAAATTTATGTTTTCAAAATAACTGGGCCTTGAGCGATCCACTTAGTTAAAGCAAGATTCAGCCCAGGCCTGTGATTTAGTTTTGTTTTGTCCATTAAGTCCAAAGCTCAATATGAAAATCAAAAATTGAAAAAACAGAAGATTTAAAGACGCCCACCGTGGGGCTCGAACCCACGACCACAAGGTTAAGAGCCTTGCGCTCTACCAACTGAGCTAGACGGGCTTGTTTGTTCACAGTTTTTATATTACATTTATTGATTTATAAAGTTTTAAAAAAATTGTAGGAAAAGAAAAATAATCGCCGTTGCCGGGGATCGAACCCGGGTCACCCGCGTGACAGGCGGGAATACTTACCACTATACTACAACGACTTCCGATTTCTTTTTCATGTTTTTATCATGTCTCTTCACTAAAGGGAAGAGTCATATTTGAGAACATTTGATTTTTTTTTTTCATAAATATATTGAGGAATCAATTTTACGTATGATTGCTATCTATGCACTTGATATTTCAAAAACTTGAGTTTAAACAAAACAAAAGAAAAGTTAAAATTTGGTAATAGAATAAAATAAATTACAATCCAAGCAACCCCACAATGTTCTCAACAAAAACTCCAACACAGATTCATATATGCACACACACTCTCTCTCGACTCTAAACTTATCATTTTGTACAGAAAATGCGGGCTTCAAGAAGGCAAACCAGCCGCAGTGCAAGCAGGAGCTTAAGCTGGAGTACAGAAGATTTCTTTTCTGCTGCCACGCCGGGGAGGAGCAACCAGGCTGAGGAAGATGAAGAAGCCTTGAAATGGGCTGCTCTAGAGAAGTTACCAACCTACGACAGGCTGCGCAAAACTGTCCTAAAATCCTTCTTGGAAAATGGCAATGGAGGGAATAATAAGGTTGTACACAATGAAATTGATGTAAGAAAGCTTGACATGAATGATAAACAAGAGTTCATTGATAGGATTTTTAAGGTTGCAGAGGAAGATAATGAGAAGTTCTTGAAAAAGCTCAGAAAACGAATTGACAAGTAAGTTCTTTTTTTTTTTTTTTTACCTTGTGAATAATATTGAATTTTAGTTTTATTAGTACATGAAATTAGATCTTCTACTATACTTAAAAAGTTATCATTAAGGACATATTTGACTTAAAATCTTGCCAAAAAAGTTTTAACGATGACTACAGACCGTCGTCAAAACCAGATTCTCATGGTAATTGCAAATCGTTATTAATAAGATTTTGACGTTTTTCTTTTTTCCATATTGTTGAGTCTATTACAAAAGTTTTCAAGGAACCATTGTCTATCCTACAAAAATAGTTATATATAATCGAATATTCTTCGACATTTTAAGTATAACCAATTATACTTAAGCTTTTTAAGCACTATTTGGATGTTAATTTAATATATTGGATTAGATGGCAATTTTACAATCTTATCTATTATTATTACCTTATAAAGTATTGCAATACAAAACGTTATAAAATATGTCGTATATTAACTTTTTTCAGCATCGATCATTGCCCATTTTTAAATCTACGCAATATACTTTTTTCTTGGAACAGACCTCTAACGTTGTAAAATGATACATTAGAAATATACATTAAAATATTATTGTCAAATCTTAATTGAGTTAACCAACAGCAACATGCATTTACTAACGGTTGTGATAAAACCTTTTTTAGCAATGCACAATTAATGAAAGTTGTTGTTTACATGTTGCAGAAGGTTATTTTTCTTAGTGTTGTAGACGCGCCATTACCAAGTGGAAATGTCTTTTATTCCAAATCGTAAACAAAGAATATTCATATTTTTTGTCTCTTTTTGTTATTTTTTTTACTCATTAATCATGAGTGGATTTGTTCTTATGAATATGTGCTATCAGTCAGTACAAACTGATAATTTTATCTGAATAATTCAAATCATATAGTCATTTTCATAAGAGTGTTAATCAGAACCATTTCCATCAGCAATTAATATTTTATACAGTAATTATCTCTTATTTTTGTCTATCATGTTAAAAACAAACAGAAGAACCAATGAGAATATTTTCATGCAGTTATTTAACTCTTCAAGGAATCAAAGAATAACACATTCTAAGTTCATTATCTACAGTTTGTCATGACATTTTATTGTTAAATCATTTCATATAAAAGTTTAAATTGTTAGATAGCTACCACTTTAACTGGAGAGGTCTTTTTGTGACTACAGAGTTGGGATTAACCTTCCGACAGTAGAAGTTAGGTTCAAGAAGTTAACTGTCGAGGCAGATTGTTTCATAGGCGACAGAGCTCTTCCGACACTGCTAAATGCAACTCGTAATATTGCTGAGACAGCATTGAGTTGTTTTGGGATCAGATTGGCTGACAGAACAAAACTCACTATACTAAAAGATGCTTCTGGGATTATAAAACCATCTAGGTAAAGGACGAGCACTTGAACTGTTTCGTCTAAAAGTTTTAAGCGTTCAAAATTTGTATGAGCACGGCTGCATGAGATGTTTAACATGTTAAAATGTGACAGAATGACTCTCCTATTGGGGCCACCATCTTCTGGGAAGACAACCCTTCTGTTGGCTCTGGCTGCAAAATTAGACCCTTCCTTAAAGGTTCCAAACTCCATTGAATTCATCAGAATTTTAGAACAAAAAAAGAAGGAAAAATTCTAAACTTTTAACATTCAAATATGGAACAGACCGTTGGAGAAATTACTTACAATGGACATAGGCTAAAGGAATTTGTCCCACAGAAGACATCTGCATACATTAGCCAAAATGATGTTCATATTGGAGAAATTACTGTCAAAGAAACTCTAGATTTCTCTGCAAGGTGCCAAGGGATCGGTTCTCGATATGGTAATTTTTGCAAGTAGCTTTCCCGATCGAAATTCTTTACGTACTTTTTTCTTGAAATATTATGGACCCATTTTGCAAGGATTTCATTTTTGTCATAAAAGAGCTTCCTAAAGAAGTTACTTAGACCAGCTTTTGCCTAAAGCTCTTCTAATCGGACAAAATACATTTGCAAATTTATCGTAACATTTTCAAAAGCAACTTCTTAGTCTCATAAGAAGTTTTTGGCTTTTCAAAAGCCCTACGCACTATATCATCGTGTAAATTATTTTCATACTAGTTTGATGCTCGTTTATGTTGAGTTATTCATTGTTAACTTTATGCGTGTAGAACTTTTGAAGGAGCTTGCTAGGAGGGAAAGAGATGCTGGGATTTATCCAGAGGCAGAGGTGGATCTTTTTATGAAGGTAAAAAAAATAAAAATAAAAAATATTTGATTAATTTGGTTGAATAAAATTCTTGTCTGATTTATTAAATGTAGTTTTATGTTTTATTTGCTACCTTGTTTATGTTCCATTAGGCAACCGCAGCGGAGGGAGTTGAGAGCAGCCTTATTACAGACTACACTCTCAGGGTATGATTGACTAAAGTTTTAATTATATATTAAATTAAATTTGCTGTGTTGTAACAAGCTTTCCAAGTTTATTTCTTCGTATCTAAATTTTTCAAGTTTAAATGTTTTAATCTCGAGTAGATTGTTTACATCCATGTTTCTGTTAAAAGAACACAGCACTCACATGTATAACTTTTCTAAGTTCTAAATAGAATATGCATTATTGGTTGATATTGTATCAAATTTAGCGAAGCAGATACTGGGACTTGATGTGTGTCGAGATACCATTATTGGAGATGCAATGATACGAGGGATTTCTGGAGGCCAAAAGAAGCGTGTGACAACAGGTTATTATTTCTTATGAAAGTCTATTCAGCATGAGAAGAACAGTCATTAAGTCAAAGTGATAAGCGCAGAGTATGATGGTTACATTTGTTTGTACAGGGGAGATGATTGTTGGGCCAACGAAAACATTATTTATGGACGAAATATCAACAGGACTGGACAGCTCCACAACATTTCAGATAGTGAAGTGCTTGCAACAAATTGTACACCTCACAGAGACCACGATCTTGATGTCGCTCCTCCAGCCAGCGCCGGAGACATTTGACCTCTTCGATGATATTATTCTTTTATCAGAAGGCCAGATTGTCTATCAGGGTCCACGAGAGCATGTCCTTGAGTTCTTTGAGAATTGTGGGTTCAAGTGCCCGGAGAGAAAGGGCACTGCTGATTTCTTGCAAGAGGTAAATCACTTGGCATTTCTGTACACACGAGTTCAATTTACTATATAACTTTTCATTCTTAAGAACATATTTAGTACTAGATAAGAGTAGAATGTATAATGGGCGAGATTTTCGCTTCATTTTCTTCTGTCCACTACCGTGGAGGCCACCTTACCAAACTTACGGCTAGGGACAATGATGCACAGAACTAATGCTAGCAATAACTTCTAAAATTGATACCAGGTGACATCAAGAAAAGACCAGGAGCAATACTGGGCAGATAGAAGCAAGCCATACAAACAAATTCCAGTGAGTGAATTTGCCGAAAAATTCAAGAGCTTCCACGTGGGTCAACAGCTTAATAACGAACTATCAGTCCCTTACAACAAGAGCCGAAGTCACAAAGCAGCTCTCGAGTACAAAAAGTATTCAGTACCAAAAAAAGAGCTTCTCAAAGCCAACTTTGACAAGGAATGGCTTCTGATCAAAAGAAACTCTTTCTTCTACGTTTTCAAGACTGTACAAATCATTATTGTGGCAATCATTACATCAACTGTGTTTTTGAGGACTACATTACATGCTAGGAACGAAGATGATGGGGCTGTCTATATTGGTGCGCTATTGTTTGGCATTATATGCAATACTTTCAATGGTTTTGCCGAGGTATCACTCGCTATACAGAGACTTTCAGTCTTCTACAAGCACAGAGATTTACTCTTTCACCCACCTTGGGCTTTCACTCTACCCAATTTTCTTCTGAGGATACCAATATCACTGTTCGAGTCCATTGTCTGGACCGTCATAACATACTACACCATAGGATTTGCCCCTGAAGCTAGCAGGTAAACTTATTTGAAATTACCTATTTATCTACAAAAGTGAAATTTCTTTACCTGGGATAAAATATGGAGTCAACTATGAAGCCTTTTATCATTTATTCAGGTTTTTCAAGCAACTATTGCTAATATTTATGATCCAGCAAATGGCTGCGGGGATGTTTAGGCTCATTGCAGGAATATGCAGGACAATGGTTTTATCAAACACTGGTGGTTCTCTTACACTTCTCGTTGTGTTCCTTTTGGGGGGTTTCATCCTTCCGAGAGGTTAGTTCGAGCATAAAAAGTGCAACTCAATTTTACAGTTCTATTGACACCAGCCCTGCAAGAACGCATCAGATGTATAATTACATTTGTTATAGAATTACACTAGAGGTATATATCTTTGGCATGTTTAGTAGGAGGATTCGATAGCACTAGATAATATTAATGAAGAAAAAACATGGACCTAAAGTACAGTCTTGATTACCTTAAACTATTCGACAACTTTCAAATTCTACTTATGTACAGATCAAATTCCTGTGTGGTGGAGATGGGGTTACTGGGTTTCACCACTGACCTATGCTTACAATGCCATCGTAGTAAATGAGATGTTTGCTCCAAGATGGATGGACAAATTGGTATGTATTCCTATGCATTTTCTGCAATCTAGCTTCCTTGTTAATGTAAAATATTTGGTACAATACAGGCCTCAGACAATGATACAAGGTTGGGACTAGCTGTGCTGAATAATTTCAATATCTTCCCAGAAAGAAACTGGTACTGGATAGGCATAGCAGTCCTCTTCGGGTTCACAATTTTCTTCAATGTCCTTTTCACTTTTTCCCTTATGTACCTTAACCGTAAGTCCCAAAACTCTAATTTACATATAAGATTTCTCTTTATTATGATAATTAACCTTCCAACGTTTCTTCTCGACACGATAGCTATTGGGAAGCCACAAGCTATAATATCCAAAGAGCAGGCAAGGGAAATGGAGGAAACACCGCCACCTAGAACAACAAAGTCGAAGAAAGGTTCACTCCCTGGGAATTACACAAGTAAAAACCATACAACAGAAATCAAATAAAACAAATTTAGTTAGAAATATTATCTTTGCTCAGCCAGAATGTTATTTTCTTTTAAATAGAGGAAATAGCAATCCAGCGAATGAGCATCCGTGCCCCTGCCGGAGGCCATTCAAATCTTGAGGCCTCGAGAGATTTTGCTCCTAAAAGAGGAATGGTTCTTCCTTTCACACCTCTAGCTATGTCCTTTGATGGTGTAAATTACTTCGTGGATATGCCCCCAGTAAGAAACAATACCCATATCTTTCATTCGAAAGTTTTATAGCAAAGGCTTAAAGCCTTACGGTGTATTCTATACTCAACTTGCAGTCTTATATTGCATTCTGCCGATAGTGAACTTGTTTGGTTGCAACAGGAAATGAAGGAACAAGGAGTGACAGAGGACAAACTCCAATTACTTCGTGAAGTAACTGGTGCATTTAGGCCAGGAGTTTTAACTGCATTAATGGGAGTAAGTGGAGCAGGAAAAACTACCCTAATGGATGTTTTGGCTGGTCGAAAGACAGGTGGTTATATTGAAGGCGACATTAGAATCTCTGGATTTCCAAAGATACAAGAAACCTTTGCCAGAATTTGTGGATACTGTGAACAAAATGATGTCCACTCACCTCAAGTAACTGTCTTTGAATCTTTAATTTACTCGGCCTTTCTTCGGCTCCCAAAAGAAGTTATCAAGGAGCAAAAGATGGTAAGAACTAGTCTAACAGCATGCATCATAGAGAATATTGTGAAAGTTTTTAACTGAAACACACTCTTCATTTGAATCTTTTGCAGACTTTTGTGGAAGAAGTGATGGGTTTAGTTGAACTAGACAATCTCAAGGAAGCTATTGTGGGGATTCCAGGAGTTACTGGATTGTCAACAGAACAGAGAAAGAGATTGACAATAGCGGTTGAACTTGTTGCTAACCCCTCAATTATATTTATGGATGAACCGACTTCTGGTTTAGACGCAAGAGCAGCAGCAATTGTCATGAGGACTGTAAGAAACACGGTGGACACAGGAAGAACGGTTGTTTGTACTATCCATCAGCCTAGCATTGATATCTTCGAAGCATTTGATGAGGTAAAGTGCAAACTCTCACTTGATTGTTACCCTAGTTAAATCATTCGGTGACATACTTTATCTTGGATCAGCTGCTTCTCTTGAAGAGAGGGGGTCAAATGATCTATGCAGGACCATTGGGCCAGCATTCCCGTAGAATCATCGAATACTTTGAGGTACTTCAGACTCTAGATAATTTTCTTACTTATAGAAAGGAAAAATGAAAGTAAAGATCTACCCAACCTACTTAGGCAATTCCAGGAGTCCCAAAGATTAACGAGAAATATAACCCGGCAACATGGATGCTGGAAGTGAGCTCAGTGGCTGCAGAAACCCGACTTGGGATTGATTTTGCTACACATTACAAATCGACAACATTATATGAGTAAGTAGATATAAACCAAACAACTAACTGCTACAAATTATGGGCATTAATCTGATATTTGTTGGTTTTACAGGCAAAATAAAGCTCTAGTAAAAGAGTTGGGCAAACCATCTCCCGGGGCAACAGACATATATTTTCCCACACGGTATTCTCAGCCCACATGGAACCAATTCAAGTCCTGCCTCTGGAAGCAATGGTGGACTTACTGGAGAAGTCCTGATTATAATCTAGTTAGACACTTCTTTACCTTGGCTTGTGCACTAGTGGTTGGTACAATTTTTTGGAGAGTCGGCACGAAAAGGTTCTTATCTAATTCTTGTTGAATCAAATAAATATTTCAGAAGCTTCAGCAACAAGATTTGAAGGTAAGATGCTGATTCTTTCTTTTTCTTATTCTACGACTTCAGAGAAAACAATACGGATCTTTTGACGATTATCGGAACCATGTATACCTCTGTGTTGTTTGTTGGAGTTAGTAATTGCTCAACAGTACAGCCAGTAGTAGCTATAGAGAGAACCGTGTTTTATAGGGAACGAGCAGCAGGAATGTACTCGGCATTACCATATGCCATGGCACAGGTGAAGATTTATCTCATACTAAATAAACCATCTTAAAAATCAAATAAGTTAAAGAAGCAAATAAGTTGAAATGGAGTTCTTTGGTCGCCTAATATGCAGGTCGTCGTAGAAATACCTTACGTACTTCTCCAGACTACCTATTATACTCTTATAGTGTATGGAATGGTGAGCTTTGAATGGACATTGGCTAAATTCTTCTGGTTCTTCTTCGTGACCTTTTTCTCATTTCTCTACTTCACATACTACGGAATGATGGCTGTTTCCCTCACACCAAACCACCAAGTGGCAGCAATATTTGTAGCAGCTTTTTCTTCACTTTTCAATATATTCTCTGGTTTCTTCATCCCCAGACCAGTAAGTTATTTTTACTCAAACACGTTAAAATATAATGATCTTCAGTCGCGTGCAAAGTTTTGAATTCTTTTCCCTTTTAAAATTTCAGAAAATCCCAAAGTGGTGGATATGGTATTACTGGATTTGCCCTGTGGCGTGGACAGTATACGGACTGATTATAGGCCAGTATGGAGATGTGGAAGACACCATTAAAGTTCCCGGGATGACCTTTGAACCGATGATCAAAATCTACATTCAAGAACACTTTGGATATGATCCCAACTTCAAGGGACCAGTTGCTGCAGTTTTGGTAGGTTTCGCAGTCTTGTTTGCATTCATCTATGCCTATTGCATTAAAAGACTGAACTTCCAAATGAGGTAGAGTGCATTATGTAACCAAAGAACGTATTTTTACAGCGAGATCGAGTTCGAAAATGAAACTAATGTCATTTGTATCATAGTGTAACACCGTATGTTACTTGGAATAAATCGTGTGGCACATTATGTAACATTTTGCAAGAAACGAAAAAAAGTCACAATATGTTACATGTAATAAACCATGTAGCACATTATGTTACATATCCGAACGAACACTTCCAAACACGGTCTTGTGGTTGAAGATCATTTTTTTACTTGGTCCAATTAAAATTCAAGTGCAGAGGATCAAGAATTGGTCCATTTTATTTAATTAATTAGCTAAAACCACTTGACCAACTCCCAACTACCATTATAATTTGGGACAGGCAATGCTTTCTGGCATGCCACCTACATTAAGCAACTACTAATTTCTTATGGGACACGTTCTTTCATTTTTTAGAGTTTAAGATTAGGTGTTGAGAAGCAAAGCAATTTAATTCGTTTGAATTCAATAAAATTGTTTGAAAAGAAAAGAAAATTGCAAATTAAGTACATTAAACTCGAAATGCAACGATTCTATTACTATAATTATTTCAGAAGTCAACGACGACATTCCAAATTTTTGACATGTAGATCATGTTCAAACTATTGACGGTGAAAAAGTCAATAATGTGTATCTTGCAAAATCAAAATTAGAATGGATCTTACTCGATATTTGTGCCTTCAAATTCATTTTGTGTCGGATAAACGCCAGCTAATCAATTTTTCTCATTAAAAAGCCAATTCCAACCTTATTTTAAACAACACAAAACTAAATAAAATGGATAAATTTTGTCTGGTCACCAAACCATTTAAAAAGTACGGTGGAGTCCCAAACTTTTAGTTTTAGTACGTTTGCATAAAATAGAAAACACGAAGACTTTTAGATGATTTTTATTCAAAGGAATCCGTTAATTGGAACATACATAGAGAAAGAAAAACTTCATCTTCACCCACCCCACCTCTAGCTACCCCATTCCCACTGACCATCACCACCACTACACAAAACGTCACACCACCCCCTATTCTACTCGAAGACCAAATCTCTGGTGTTTGGGCGGTGGGAATGGGTTGATGGTGACAATGGTAGGTAGGGATAGGGTGGGAGTAAGTGGAGAAGATAAAATACTATTGTTTAAAAAAAAAATTGTTTAAGATTTTTGAGTTCTCTTTTTATTGTTTGTTTTTAATTTTATAAATGTGATAACATAAAAAGAACTCTCTTCCCTTCTTTAGATAGGTCAAATTTTGATCAATAAGTGACTTTCGGATCAACGGACAGTCTCTTGGATGAACCATTCAAGGGACCGGTTGCATATTAATTTTAAAGTTTGAGAATAAGGAGCCACAAAATGAAAAAATTTAAGATCCTATGGCATTTTTGAATGGTTTACGACACTAGATGCAATTTATCCAAAAAAAAAAACATTTTCTCTAATAAGTTCCTTCCAAGTTGCCATTCGCGAACTTTAAAAAAGGAAAAAAAAAATGACAATTTTGCACGAGATGTCGAGGGACAAATATAATTATTTTGATCATAGACCACCACAAAAAATTAATAATGGACGGATACTACAACGTTTATAGATGCTGCTGGGCACGTGGATTTATGGTTGCCAATTGTAATATCCCATGTCCCACTAAATTACTCTCAATTCTGTCCTTTCATTTCAATGTCCCCCATAATTATGTTAATTGGGACTGACATTAGTCCCAACTACACTTGTTTGGCACATTAACTTGACCACGACATCGGTAAAACATATTTGACATGTCGTGAGTCGTTCTCATAGTCTGTTTGGTATTATTTTTGAAAAGTTGAAAGAAGCTTTTGGATCTATCTGACTAATTTTATGAAAATATTTCTTCTAATTAGAAGAGTTTTTAGAGAAAATTAGTCTAACGTGACGTAATCTAAAAACACTTCGATAATATAAATCTCTTTTAAAAATTAGTTTTCAAACAAAAATTAAAATAATTTTCTCAGAGAGCTCATCATGTTAAACGAGCCTTGAAAAAGTGTGAATATTAACACCATGTTTGATCCACATTTTTACACAAATTCATTTTTTCAAAACTCATTTTGAACCACACATTTTTCAATAATATAATATTATACGCAAATCCAAAACTATTTTTTTTATTTTTTAGTCACATATTTTCCATCAAATCACTATTAAAAATGCATTCTCCACTCAATAATGTGCATCAAACAGGGTATAAGTATAGGGTTGGAGTTGAAGCAAAGCGGCCTTATTTCAAGTTCGAAATTTTAGGGAGCCCAAAATATATTGAATTTAATACTTATTTATTGTTTCTAAATTAATACCAAATCTCTTTTATGAAGTAGTGACAATACATTCATTTGTTGAGTGGTCGCGAGTTTGATTCTTATCGTAAATTAATATCAAAATTTTCCGCTCCCATCCCAGAATTCTTTGAACGTGTTATGAAATTTGTTTTTATACTTTTCAATTCGAATTATATATATGAAAAATGTAAATCACGATTTTTTAATCTCTACCTCGCCAAAGAATATCGCTTATAGAGCAGGAATAATAATGAACGCCGTGCTTCGTTAGCATTGTTAACTGTCAATTATTGGTTTTACTTCACAAGAACGTAAACCTTGTTATTGCAGCAAGTCACGAATTAAGAAACCTAAAAGACAAATATTGAGGCATATTTCAATGAAAAGGGACAAGTAGCTTTGTTGGTTTCCTTAGCATTGCTATGGAATCCCAAACACCGTTCATGGTTCACAATTCACATGTCAGTTTCCACAGGAGATTTCTCATGTGTGGACCAAGAACGCCCTTGTCAATCCACCACGCCTCGCACGTTTTGAGTATTATAACGGCCCCCTGACAGGATTTTTGAAAAGTCAAAATCAACTTTGAGATTAAGAATTTATTTTTGTAAAATAATTTTCAACAAAGTATTTTAAACTACGGAAGATAATTTTTTTCATCGAACTCTTATATATGAAACGAAAAGCTTGTCAAAGGAACCCAACATACCCAACTCCTAATATACCCTCTATGTTTAACTACTTTTAGGTGTTTGAATTCGTCTTCTAATCGACTTTTAAAAAGAGGATATATAATGTGTTCACAATGCAGAGTTTTCATTCACTACATTAGACTTAAAAGTTGTTACAAGTTTGAACTCTCTTTGTATTGTTTGTTTACAACGAAAGAGCTTGCTCTGATACATTAAGAGTAAAATTTATCTTTAAAATTGACTTGTGAAAATATTGCGTCTTGTATGCTTATAAACTCGTGAAATAGTTCTTTACAAACGACGTAGATTCAAACTTGGTCCTTGCAATACAACCCATTTCTTATCTTCCTGTACTATGATGTGTGGACCATGCGCATTTCAATCCACTCTAATCAACATCTCTCTGTTTTTTCGACCGGATCCGACCCGACCCGACCATTCTAATTCAAGTATACCAAACACGACCTTTGTCGGACAATCCTATGAAGATGAACCAAAAAATTAGAAAAGAATTGGAAAAAAGAGAGGATAGAGTTGGCATTTCTGATATAAATGTTCCGACTCAAGGACGAGTAGGAGAGAGAGAGAGAGAGGGAAATCAGAGCTTACAAAGACTTAGCCACCCACCCCTTCAAGTTTCTCCTCTTTTTCTTTCTTCCTCCATTTTTCTTCAAGTACTCTTCTTGATTTTCTCATATTTTCTGACACCATGTTCGCCGGAAGCACATTTCTGGTAATTTAAACCTTAATTCAATTGTATTTTTTTTTGCTAATTTTCATTTTCCAGTTCGAGCTCCGATCAGATTTGAGAAATAAGAATACCCATTTTGTAAAATTATAAAAATCAAATCTTTATCCCATTTTGAATGTGATTTTATGCAGAATAATTCGCTCTCTGGGGTACCCAGAGTCTTTCCACGGTCTGCACAAAGAGTGGCAGCTCCGCCAGTTGTGGTGGCTGCTGTGAGTTCAAATGGGCGTCCCGGAGATCGAAACGCCAGCGTGTTGATGGAGAATACTTCGAAAGAAATGGTAGAAAGTGCTACATCGTCATCATCACCATCAGTTATAGACAAAGACGCCAAATCAACTGTTGGAGGTGGAGTTGAAGACGTGTATGGTGAGGATAGTGCCACAGAGGATATGCACATCACACCCTGGACTGTAACTGTTGCCAGGTTATGAATCCTGGTTCTTCCTTTCAATTTTTATTTTTTTATAGGAGTTTTGGTAATTCCCATGTTCCTTTAACGTGTTCCAATTCTATTGATCCTTTTTTCTTTTCCAGCAAACAAAATTGGATTGTTATGTGTCGTCTGTTTCTGTGAAGTAATAATTTTCAAGTTCTGTGTATTATGAATGACTCCATTTCTGTAATTGAATTTTTTCCCTTCATTTTGATTCTGTCAAAATGTTGTCAAGTTTCAATTCCTGTCATCTTGTTGAACTGAGAGATGCTTTCGATACAGAAAATGAGATATTATGTACTTCCTGGTTAGATAATTATTATTTTCCTTGTGAATCTTATAATTGATCTTGTTTATGCATAGAAAGATGAAGGTTTTTCGTCCCTGCAAAATGTTTTCACTCAGAAATGATATTACAATAGTGTAATAGCCTTTTGAAGCGGAGAGGATCCAATAGTTTATTGCCTTTTTTAAAGCTTAACGAATTAGGAAAAGCAGAAGAATGATTCATTAAATGAGATGATTTAGGATTTGCTACGTTAGTCTGGTTTATTCCTCCTTGTTTTCTTGATGAGATGATTGATCCTTCATGATGTTCTATATTTTTTAATAAGTCGTGATCTTTGTGCATTATTTGTCATTTGTTTGCTTAAACATTCTCTTTGTTGCATTTCAGTGGATATCCATTGCTACGAGATCCACACTACAACAAAGGGCTTGCCTTTACTGAGAAAGAGAGGGATGCCCACTTTCTCCGTGGTCTTCTTCCCCCAGGTGTTGTTAGTCAAGAGATTCA